AAGAAAGGTTATGTAATTCCCGACGAAACTCCGCTGATACTAAACATTTGTTATAGGAACTTGAAAAATTCCTATGTGTAGAATCATCCCCTAAGTTTTTTTGATCAAAGTTTCCGGAAATCCTGTATATTTGAGTGAATGTGATTTGTTTAAATGTCAACCTCCTGAAGTTACATGAGCTTACAAAACAGTGAAATAACAAGTGAATAAAAAAGTCACAGATGGAAACTAACCCTCTATCTCACCCTCTATCTAACCTCATCAAAAACCTTTTAACTGATTCGAAACTATAAATCAGTAGTTTCAAGTTAAACTAATCAGTACAAATATCTCTTCAGAATTTAATAAACTGCAGGATGTTGAGCGGGATGGGTCGTAAATTATGCACCGGAACTCGAAAATAAGACCGAACTACATTTTAATGATGCAATCGTAAATAATAACGTTTCAAAATACGTCCTCAGACTTTTCTGTGAAACCTGTATTACAACCTAGGGGGAAAGAAACGTCAAAACTTCAAAGGACTAATCCGTGCATCTTTGTATGTTATTATAAAATATCCGAAATAAACACGAATACATACGTACCGTGTGGGATTCCAATAAATTTTCATTTTTGGTTGGCACAAGACGAGGCAAATATATCTTAACACATGTTTGATTTTATGAAACATATATCTTACTATAACCATCATAAAAAATGCCATTAAGTTCGTTACAATATTTCACTATGTACTCATTTAAGACAAATATTGTGCAGTGTTAATAGTTATGTCACCCCATTTTAATTTTTTTGTTTTTTAGTTTGGGAAAAAATGTGATAGACATAAAAGTTGTCCATATCAAAAGTTTTTTTTTGATAATGAACTTTGTACAGGATGATCTTAAAAGATATTAAGTAGGTACCTGTGTCATATTTGAATAGAAAGCTTTTGCTGTGAACATATTTTTTTGCCGCCATCATATTTAAAAAACATAAGCGGGGTTAGTTAACTTACAAAGTTAGCGAACTACGTATTGATAAATTGTTTGCAATTCTCACTGCACTGGAATTTACCGCAAATTTGATATAAACAAATTCATTTGCCGTGCTTATTCCTCGGCTTATTCTTCCGAAATAGGGATAGCATCTCGGATAGCACACTAAGTTTATGTAAAGGGGTGGTCGGCTAATTTCAATCAAGGAGTTTTTTAACTCTCCGTCATAATCTCATATGGTTGTTCCTTCGACCACTTTATACAAAAAAGCGGCTAACGTTTTACAGACAAGAAATCACACTTTTGGTAAGACAATGATAGAACAAGTAGATCCATCCGGAAAGAGACGAAGCGTAACACTAAACTAGAGAAATTTCCTTTAATTTTTGCATTAAAATATCACGGAGAACAAATAAACATCAGAAAATGTACCTTTCCTATTTTGTCCGACAAATTTTTATTTTTTTTTGTAGAATATAAGTACGACTAAAGGTTTAAAATTTCATTTTAATAAACAAATTAGTACAAAACTTTAAATTATACTGAAATGATTGCTGACAATATTGTAATAGATAAGGTTTTTGGACATTTACCTTTTTAATCATAAACTGTGCTTTTTATGTAAAAAAAAGCTCAACAGACCCAGAAGTTTGGTTGTATAGAAATCCATTTCCAATCCATCACATATCTCTGAAATTTCTCCGACGTCACTGGGCAGATATTGTATAAAAGTTACTAAGTAGGCCAGGAAATATAGATTGGACGCGACTTTTTGTTTCGGCAAGCTGAATTTATCACTATAGATGCTAAATATTATGTACAGTGACATATTTGTTTCCACAGTCATAAAAATGGGGGGAAGATTGTTTACAGGGTGGTTAATTGTATAATTTTTACGTAAGTTCACGTTTTTCGCTTATAACTTTTTTCCGTTCATTTTCACGAGAAAACAGTAAAGAATGTTTTGGCATCGTATCCTCTCATTCCTTATCACTGTCTAATAACTCACACGAAATCTGGAATCGGTAAGTTGAATAGTTTACAAGTTATGGCCTTATAAACAAATTAACTAATTATTAGTCTGGACGATCCCGAGGATTTTCCACAATCGCACTGATTTTTTTTCATGGTTAATTTCATAATACATTGAAATCTATCATTTTTTTTTAATTTCAAATTTGCACCCTGGATTTTTTTTTATTTTTTAGCCTTAGTTGCAAAATGTATACGACGCACGAGCGTGATATAGTTATATATTATTACATATTCGGAAAGCTTATGAAAAGAGCTTTAAGTTAAAAAAAATCATCTAGAGTCGTTGAAAAACAACGGAATTACAGGCTGTTAAAGTTGACGGCCTATTGTTAAACAAATTAGGTTGGTAGCGGCAAAAAAAATACTGTCATAACCGGCAACCCGAGTACTTTCCCAGATAAAAATATTTTATTTGTGGAAGTATGTTAAGTGCATAAGAAATATTGTCAAAAGTCAGTGGGTCGCTTGATTTTCGGTGAGTCGTGGCACGGCGGAAGGGTGGGAGAAGCGAACGACAGCGAGTCCGAAGAAAATGACGATAATATTGATAGTCCTGCCGTTAAAAAAGCGAAATTCGCTTGAAAATAATATATTTAACAGTATGTAACTCCGTTGTTTTTCAACGAATCTTGACGATTTTTTTTTAATTTACTTAAAGCTCTATTCATAAGCTTTCCGAATATGTAATCATATATAACTATATCACGCGTGTGCGTCGTATATTTCATTTTGCAACTAAGGCTAAAAAATAAAAATAAATTCCAGGTTGCAAATTTGAAATTAAAAAAAAATGATAGATTTCAATGTATTATTATGAAAAATGCGATTGTTGAAGATGCTCGGGATCGTCCAGACTAATAATTAGTTAATTTGTTTATAAGGCCATAACTTATAAACTATTCAACTTACCGATTCCAGATTTCATGTGAGTTATTAGACAGTGATAAGAAATGAGAAAATGCGATGCCAACACGTTCTGGTTGGCATAATAACGCAGTTTATAAATGTTTAATTCAGAAGTCATAAATAAACATCTTCTGTTTATAACTTTTGATCTAATCAATATTTTTTGACGCTCGAGGGCTAGTTTTGCAGGTCTTTTGAAGACAAAAAAAGTACATTACTGTTTTCTCGTGGAAATAAACGGAAAAAAGTTATAAACGAAAAACGTGAATTTACGTAAAAATTATACAATTAACCACCCTGTAAACAATCTTCCCCCCATTTTTATGACTGGAAACTAATATATTATTGTACATAATATTTAGCATCTATAGTGATAAATTCAGCTTGCCGAAACAAAAAGTCGCGAAATGGTAATTTCCCAGCTCTTCTTCCTAGCCTATACGTCCATACGGACAAAGTAGATTATAAACTTCTAATAACTATAAAACTACCACTGCTACAGTTTTTATGGCAGTTTACTGTCGTAGTTGACAAAATTACTTTAAAGTGTGCACGTTTAATTATTAGATTTTTCACAACGGAAATAATAATTATCATCTGTTGAGTCCGTAAATTAGACAGTGGATGTAAATTATGCTCTGAGAAATAACAATTCTTTTATATTTATCTTTCTATAAAAAGAAGTCCAACATCCTTACGTATTAAATATTTCCGGCGTGATGTATCTTTGTATATACTTATATAGGGTGGTGGATTAAATTATATGAGATTTGGAGAAGAAAGCAACTCTATATATAATAACTGATAGCAAATATGACAATTGTTTCATAACAAATAATGTCTTTTATTAAAAAATTCAATAGAATTTAAAGATTACAAAAATTGTATTAAAGCCAAATATTTGCTAGTTGCAAGTTAAGACATAATAAAGCCTACTGCTGTACCTTCTGAAATTTGACAATTTTTAAAGCACAATGACAAAAATTTGTTTAAAATGCTAAAGTAGGTACTACGAGAATGAATAGTGGCAGTACAACAGTACATTAAAATAATATATTCAGTATATGATCCCGGATCGTTGGTAGCATTAATTATATTATAAGTTAAGGTCAACAAAACATCCGGTTGGGAAATCGTGATACAAACTGCATTTTAAACAAATTTATGGAATTTCTTTCAAAGTAAATTTTACCTTCGTAACACAGGGCGATGAAATCCCCTTCACTTTGTTTTTCCACATTCCATCGTAATAGCCAGTTTCCGATTTCATTTTGTTTGGCAAAAATTTTATTTTTTCTATTATGATCTTCATCGTTGTCTTCGATTTGACTAGAAGCGTTTTCATCGTTACACGGTGTCCTTTTTAACACATCATGTTTGGGAATATTTTCGTTATGTACTCTATTATCACTGAGAGGTTCGATATAGATAGGGTTTTTTTCTTTGGGATTACACTTTAAAAACTGGCAGGAGTTGTCTTCAACGTCTCCTTGCGTTGAACTGGCATTATTATCACTATTATATTTATTTATATCTTTGTCGTTTTCTGTTTCATCCATGACTTCTGTACACTAGAATTAAATTTCATCCTGAGTTTTATTGTAAAAGAAATCTGCTATGATCTCGAATAGAGAAGGTTGCCATGGCAATAGACAACCAGGCGACTAGACAGCGACTTCATGTCTACGTCTTTTAATTGAAACTTCACAAAATATTTTAAATATCGATGGTTTTTAAAATACACGTTTCAAAGATGAATTTAATTGCAAAATTTCTTCTAAAAGCACGAAACTACACACAACACTTCACTGCAGTCTTTAAAACCTGTTTTCTTAATGAAAAATATCTTTAAATCACTTACAATGAAAGAAACAGGTATTTTTTATTTATATTTGCATAATTTAGTCTAATTTCATTACCACTACTACCAATTAATAATACATAATTTATAAAAGTTGTATAAACAGCTGATTTGACAGCAGATACACCTGCCACCTGCAATGCGATTGCGCGATACGTTTCGCCCTGCATTGTATGATGTGAAAAAATGTTACTAAAAACGTAAACAATAAAATTCCTAAATTAATTTTTATGGTAATCAAGGATATGTATTAGTGATAATTGATTTATTGAAGTATAAATATAAATCCAGATACAATGTACTACGTAAATCGTAAACTTAACAAAAGAAATTTGTGCCGTTTTCATAGAAATATTGTTGACCGAGAAACATTTTCTCCAAAATTTGAGGTTAAGGTGGTAACAGTTTTATTTTTAAATGGTGAAATTGATATCTCCTATCTATATCTATACATTTTTTTATTAAAACAAAGCATGGAAGAAACGCGTACAGTAAAATTCGATGTTAGCTGATTTGAAGGTTGTGTGTATTATAAAATTTTATATTGTTTATGTTTCAGAAACCCATATGTTTTTCAAGCAAAGTATTAGTTGGAAATTGGGTTGAAGATCGTTCTACTTACAAGAAAAATGATTTTAAGCATAAATCTATTTACTCTGACGAATTTGTGCCAAAGTCATTTGACACAGATAATTTAAAATTTCTGTGGGACCAGAAAATAATAGCCGAGGCAACATGATTATAATAAAATAAATAAAACATGTTTATAATGATATATAAATTTAGGGCCATGGTACCATTTCTAGTAAGACAAGTAATGAACCTTCCAGTTTTTTTGATAACTATTCAACTACATATGATTTGAGTTACAAATTCTTTCCAAGTTGGTATACTGCACCCATTTTTCGAAACTTAAGATTTAGACTTGGAACACATGAACCCCTCGAAGAATACCTCAAGAGTTATGTAAGATTAAGTCGTATGATTGTTTAAAATTAGTTTAAGGTTTTGAGTGTTGCAATCATATTCTGCCTTGACAAATAACCAGCTACCAACTTGAATGTTAATTATAAATAATCCGTTAATAATTAACACTTAAAGAAATATTATTTCCAATGTTCAAATTTACAATTCATTGAATTGAACTAAATATAAATTTTACCATAAAACATATATTTTCATCATGTAGGGGAATTTATCAAATTATGGATTATCTGAATACAAAGAACATGTATGGAAATGTGAAAAGCAAGACCCTAGAACAACAGCCACCACCTCCTATGAAGATTCATTTCTTTCACCTGAAAGATCTGATTACACATATTCTCATTGGTAATATTTTGACTTGATAAACTCTTTTCAGAGTATTTTACTAAAAAAAGATTAGGTATGACCTATTTGAGTTGCAGCTAATAATATTATTTACAGGTGCCGCATAACTCCAAAGAAAGATAACCACCCGAGCCTTTCAAAATTTAATATAATTACTTGGAAATGTAAAAATGAAAAATGCTATTGTTAATAAAGTTTGATAAAACTAATTGTGTTTAAAAATCAAAAGCTGTACTAACAATAGGTATATATTTACATAAATTATCTGTTACCGTTTAAAATGTAAAAAGAATAGTCATTAGGAGAACATTAATTTATTGTAAATAGCTCCAAAACCTTTAACCTATTATTATAATGTGAGGTAAATATTTTGGCAGTGTTGATTTTAGATAAATTCTTATTTACAAAACAGAATTATAGTACTCCTTAACACCACAAATGGCTTACATCGTTTTCAATATTCTCGTCTGAATTTTTCTAAACAATAATTTTATTTACTCGATAAAAATCAATTGGTATAAACTTATCTTAAGAATTGTCTACGTTGTTCTATTAATTTGTGGTGGTAAGTCCAATACGTTGAATTACAAATATAAAATATTTTCTACTTAAAGAATTTAACTAAACCAATTTATTCTTAAACTAAATTAATAAATCTGCACCAAATATAAATTTATATATAAATAAAGTAAAACATAAATTATATCACAATATTAACGTAATATAAAAAAACATAATTTGACTCATTTTCTATTAAAGAAAATTTTAATAGTATAATTCATTTACTATTCTAAAATATTGTTTCAACATTTTGCAACTAAAGTTACAAAGAAATATGCTGCCAAATAAGGTTTAAGTTAAGATACATTTTTAATAAATATTGAAAACAATTCTAAATAATTTGATAAATTGTAAATTACAATTTTTTAAAAATATGTATGTAGATAACGTTTCTTAGAATAAAAATTAATTTTCTATTTATATTTGGGCATACTACATCACGACAAACTTACAAAATTAGGTTTTTTAAGAAACAAAAAATAAAATTTTAAAATATTCAACATTATCAAACAACAAGAATTATCTAAATGTTACAACTTTTCTATAAGTTTAGTATCAATGATTCACTTTGGTATTCCTGACATACTCTGTATTATTTGTATGGTGTATGTAACATATTCCTCATTTCCGAAAAAAATCTAAATACATCCTATTAAAATTAAATAAGTGAAAAATAATAGTCGGATAACTCACTTCAATAAAAAAAAAATGACAATACAACAAAAAAAATAATATTTCAAAATTATAACTAGTAATCCTCTCTTTATACAGGGTATCCCCAATTGTACATGCCAAGCTTTAAAGTGTTTCTAATTTATTAAAATTACATTCACATTGGAGATTTTTTTAATTTTCAGACTGAAAAAAGTGAAAAATGGTCAAATAACTGACTTCAATACAAAAATCACAATAATACAACAAAGGAATTACTTTTCCAAAATTATACAGGGTGTTCGGAATTGAATACACCAAACTTTATCTCAAAATAAAAAGATGCATGTTCACGTAAACATGACAATGCCTCGTTTTCGAAATAATGCAATTTAAAAGAAAAAATCATGTATTTAAATATTTCGTAAAATATTAGAGACCGATAAAACCTGGGGAAAAGAATTAACTAGTTATAGTAAAAAATTCACTGAGATGATACACAAAGATACCATCACCAAGAACTCCAGAATTTCAACGCCACTGAATATTTGGGAAATTGGATAACTGCATTTAATTTCAGTTGGTGTTTAAAAAAAAGGATAAAATAATATATAACAAAAAAATACTTATAATTTGTTTTGCGTAATTAATGGTTTTGGAGTTATATTCAATTTATTCAACTACGTCAAAGAATAATTTAAAATTTAAAAAAAGTTTTCAAATAAGACAATACATTTTTTTTTAGAAGCACTAACCAGAAATAAATGCACCATTTTCAGTAACATCAAAATTTTGGGGCTCTTAATGACAATATCCACCTCTGGTTAATAAATTTGTGTAAAGGTTGACATTTTATAGACAAGAAATCACACTTTTAGTAAGTCAATCGTAAGATAAGAAAATCCATCTAAACTAGAAAAATCTTGTATGATCAGTACAGTGAAGAGATATTCGTTCTAACTTGCTTAGATTTCCTAAAATCCTGGACAAAAAATTAATTGAAAATTGCATATAAAAGTGCCCTATTAACTAATGTTTGCTAATAATTAATGTTGTCATTATCCCCAATTTTATCAATATATGTCAAATATTTTAAGAGATAATCAAATAAATGTAATATTTTTTTCAATACATCTTGGCGACGAAGAGTTTTACCACCTAATGTGTTATATAAGCATTTTTTGGAGCTGTTCTATCACCCCGTAAAGTTTGGCAAGAGCAATCATGGGCACCCTGTATTTACATAAACTTTTTTATAACAAATGTAACTGTCTTTTCAGTGTTTATTTATATTAATTTTGAAAAATATATTTAAAATGATTAAAAATAAATATAAAATATGTTCATAAAGCAATAGACAGATAAAGTGAAACATTAGATGGGCCATGTTTATTTTTAATTGTTCCTTTTTTTACAATTATTTCACATACAATGTGTCCACGGATTGAGTGCACGTGGGGTGTAAATAATCAACATTTTTCGAGTTGAAATTTGAGCTTCTCAAAGTTGGCCGATCAAATTGAAAATTGACAATCTGTCATAACTTTTAGTTCTCAATAACTTTCTTAAGTATATATTTTTGATATTTTTAAAAACAAAGGTATTTTACTCTTGGCAATTTTTGAAAATTCATCGTAAAAACACCCTGTAGATTAATTAATTGGACAAATTTTTTCAACTTCCTAGTTTAAGGCCAAGCAGAGATGATGACCAGAAGCTCAAATTTCAACTCAAAATTTTTTTTTATCATTTACACCCCACGTGCACACAATCCGTGGACGCACTGTAAACAAAGTGTGCCATTAATTTAAATATACAGGTAGAAACCACGACATGAATCTCTATTAAAGGGCTTTCCTTTCAGAACTTTTTTCATATTTAAAAATTAGGAAACGTAGCTAAAAAAGAAATCTAATTTGATTAAGTTTTTTCATAAATACCTTATTCCTTGTACTGAGATACCTACTTTACATACACGGCTGGCAACGGTACGTGGTCTATCTGCCTTTAGATGAGAGCGATGAGAGCGACAAAGTAAAGAAATCCGTACAATAGACAAGGATGGCTATAATGAAGACTTTTCATAATCTGAATAGTCACTCCAACTTCTAACCGAGCGCATTCTATTTACTATTCAGATTATGAAACGTCTTCAATATAGCCATACATGTCTATCGTGCGGATTTCTATGACTTACTTTGTCACTCTCACATAAAGGCAGATGGACTATGTGGATTTTCCAGCCGTGTATATGCATGGCAGGAATTGCAAAAAAAGAACAAATAAAAAGGTACAATATGTAGGTTTTTGAAGCTTTTGAAGAGTTTCAAAAATGGTATAAAAATGAACAGTTTCCATTTAAAGAAAAACCATCAATCACATCATAGATCTAACATGAGTCATCTGATCGTTTGTAGAACTTATTACTAATTAGGGAACGGTTTATATAAAAAGAGAAGTGTAGTAAATTTGTATGATTAAATTCGATGTCAAAAATGTGCAAGCTGTATAAAATTGAACAATTTAATGATTTCTTGTTTTTATAAAAACATTCTACTAGACATACATATTTATTTCAAACCTTTATGTAAATTTAATAAATTTTTTCAATTAATATACCGATAATTGATGACTAGTAATTAAATTTTTGAATGCTCTAATATCAAAACAATTCCAATTTTACAATGGAATTTTGGTGATAAACCGTATGTCAAAGAAAACGTACATTAAACTCAATTCTGTTTAAACAGATAATATAAAATAAATTAACAATGTGGAGCCCTAAAAGTATGAGATTGTGGACTTACACCTGGCAAATTCTTAAATAAGCTACTAATAACTGGCTTTTCACCAAATAACACTGGTGTGTTAAATCTATTACTTGCATTAAAACTTTTTAAAGATAAATTACTAAAGCTATTTTCAAAATTAAACCTAGGAATATGGTTTGCCTGAACAAGCAACATATTATTTTGTTTTAATATCGGGTAAAATATATTATTATCAGTCTTATAATATAACTGACTTGCCATAGGCGGACATGGTTTTGGTATATGAGAATTATTAAATGAAAAGTTATCTTTCAATTGACTTCCAGTGCAGCCCGAATTTATAGGCGTGAAATGGTAAGTAGGTTCTGATAATATTGAAGCTTTCTCGAAATCACCATAGAGGGATGGCTCTCTTGACGGTGGAAGGGAATTGTATGTATTGGGAACCACGGGTTCATTACTAGAAACGAAACCAGAACTCTGACTTGAAGAACGACTTAAGTTAGCAATGTCTGTGGAGGCCGGAAATACGGCTACATCGTTTTTCCAGAAACCTCCGGCAGCCCAAGAATTTTGGGTTATATTTTTCAATTTCGGTGGTGATAAAATTGGCCGGCTGACAGAATTTACTGAGAACACTGGAGAGTTACATGGTTGCGAATTAAAACTTAAATTAGTCAAATGTAAGTTATCTAAGCTGCGGTGCAGTTCATTACTAGAACTGTTGATACTGCCAGTTTTAAAAGAGGTATTAAAAACAGGTGAACTTTTTGTACGTCTGGCAGTGTAGAATGTATCGTTAACGTTGGCAGTATTTCGTAGAAGGTTTTGAAATAAGAAATTTTGAGAATGTGATGCATTGAAATTGTTACCAGACTTGCACGATTTATTCGACATTGATTTTTTAGAGCAGAATGATGAATTCAATATGTCTTCATAAGCTTCTTCATCAGAACTTTCAGATATTTCTGTGTTTGTCTTTAACTTCTTGAACGTAAATTTTTTCTTTATAGGCTGTATCCTGCATTCGGGGTTACTTGTTATCAATACACTGTAAATGACGGCAATGGGACAAATTATCTAAAATTAAACATATGTTAAAAAAATAACGTGTAATACATAAAACTGTCTTTAATTGATAAACTTCTACATTTTTGGATATACTATTAACGGCGATTGGTGAATATGAGTGGTTATAACTGGAAAAGAAATGTGGGATTCATAACTTTACTTATTTCCGTTTTTAATTTTTTACAAAAATATATTATTTACAACTAATTATAACTCAGAAACAAAATATTTGTGCAAACTTTAATGGTGGATTTTAAATCACAAAAAAGAGTTCCTAAAAAACATATGTCTGGAAATGTTTTTGAGATGAGATGAGAGAGTATTGACGTGAGAAAAATGTTTTTAAATTACACAAAAAAATATTGAGCAGTAGCCATCTTCACTAGCAATATTTTTTCTCTTCAAATTATTTCAAATTTTCTTTAGAAAAGTGTGTATACATACATCATTTTTAAGATAAATAATAAAATATAGTCATGTCCAGCTAATTAACATAAAATTATTTTAGAAATAAACATGAATTATACAAATAATCATATGTGAGTGACATAACGTGTTACAAGGAGATAGCTTCCCTTAATTGCTTCTTACAACTAGAAATAAATCACATATTTTCATTAATTTTAAACATTTTTTAAATCAAACTCAAAGCATTATTGGACACAATAAAAAGTTTTTTTGTTAATTTGTCATATAGGATCCAAAATTACAGTTTGACCCATCATTTTAGTTACCCCTTATATGTGCAATAATTTTTGAGATGTTAGGGAAGACTAACCGCAAATTAAATTTATTTCACTAATTTGGTTCAAATTTTTTGTTATAAAAGTTCTCAATGGGAGAATGGATATCTACAAACAGTATAGGCCCCACTTCATAGTCAAAATATGCCCACCTTAATTTTCAGATTGCCACTATACAGGGTGATTCACAACTTATCCAAAAAAATTTGGGAATAGATGCAGCATGAAAAATGGAGTCAATATCGTAAAAAAATTTTTGTAAAATCCTTATAGTTTCCAAGAAAAAAATTATTGAAGTTATAGTACATTAAACCACTACATAGCTGGACAACTGTAGTCTCTAGCAACATTCGCAATACGCGTGGAGAGCCACGTGGCCTCAGCGACTCCGAATACTGAAATCCACTTTTGCAATTGTCGTTGCGATAGTGTTTACCTGTTATCTGTGGTGTTTACAATAGTTTTTTAGTAATTAGTGTCAAAGATGGTTTGCATGTATAGCAACTTGGAGTTGATGGATATCGTTTTAATTTATGGCGAAGTAAGACAACATTTGCATTATGGTGAAGCAAGATAATATTTGTGTTAGTTCGTGGAAAATGATTAAGTCGGACCCAAATGTGTTTATATATTGGTGGATAAAATTTTGAACAATTGTTGTTGTAACATCGGGTATGTTAAATGATTTTATTATTTAAAAACACAAATTAATTTTATTAATTAATAAAGACAAAAGCAGTTAAATTTGCCGATATAAAATAGGTGCTATAAAATTCATTTATTTCTTTTCTTGCAAAAGTTTTTGTCCGTTTTTATCACACCGACATGCCGGTCGTATTGTGCAATATCAGGTTTTACAGTGGACCAGTTTCCAGTGCCGTGCAGAAGTGTATTTTTAAATCATTTTCGAACTGCCCTTTTTGATTTTTTCTCTACAAAATTGTATTTGTAAGGGTCCCCTGTACATTCAGAAAAAGTTTGGATAAGTTCTGAATCACCCTGTATATTAGACTGTATTTCCTTACAAAAAGGAAAGAAATGTGATAATGTTCATTAAAAAAATATACTGAAAAAGAAAGGTAAGCAAGAGGAACATTGCATCCAAAACATTGTAAAATAAATACAATTTCTTAATACGGAATTTTATTTTGAATATTTAAATATTTGAAATTTGAATTTTTGATGAATTGATTTGAAATTTTTGAATATTTGAAAAAATATAGAAATTAACAATGTAACATATAGATGTCTTACCTGCACAGCATTAACATATTCAAAATAGTCATCATGGAATGTATTTAAAGAAGTGATAATCAAGATAATCCAACTCAGTAATTCATTGGCTTTCCATAAAATAGACTTTGTTTGCCAGGTTAATAAAATTATTTCCAACATTAATCCAAACCAAGTTATGGGTAGTATATCATTCTTTATAATCCTTGCATCTTTGAGATCAGATATAGAACGTAAATTCAATTTATTACTCATGTTTTTGATAAAGTTATCTGTGGCATTGGAAACTATATGGCACCAATCATTTAATATTACTGTATAAGGCGTAAAAACACCTGGCATATATTCTTTAATTGTGCTTTTGGGATAATTTATTTTTTCATTTACTGCCCGACACAGCACAATCAATGAAAATAAAATAAGGGAATACCTCACAATATTCATACTAACAGATTTTTTAGATGCTTCACTAAATCTTTTCGATTTAATCAATAATTGTAAGCCTTTTTTCGGTAAATTTTTAATGCGATTTCCGAAGATCCAAGCATGTTGCCTTTCTATTGTCTTCTTTAAGATTTTGTCACATTTTTTACATAATTTATATGATTTTTCTAATTGTATCCTAAAATAAAAAAATATTAGAGAAGGAAAAAATGTTTCAAAAACTAACTTACCGAAAATGTTCTACTTCAGCGTCATAATTTTTGTCATTTAAAGGGATAAAGTTTGCTAATTGTCTTATTTTTAACTGTTGATTGTTATTACAATAAGCACATAAGCCGTTAGAAGAAAAAGTCCCAGATTTCTCAACAGTCTTACAGTGAGGTTTATTAAGTGAAGTATTAAATTGTTCCTCGATAACTTTGTTATATCCTCCATCTTTGTTAAATCCATTATATTGTAAACAGAAAGGGCAGTAAAAACTATTACGATCTGCAAAAATAACTTTGGTCCAGCTATTACAAAACCAACAATTTACACTAACATAAAATCCATTTCTGAAACAAAAATAATTTAAGTATTTCTAATACTTCATATTATGCACTATTAAAATATATTAAATTATATTTTACCTTTTTATAAGATATGATATAGTCAACAGAGTCGCGGGAATTAAAAATAAAGTAACTAATGACACTGTTATTGATAAGGTTTCGATTATACTATCCATATTATTAAATTAGTCATTAAAATAACTATTAATTAATAATACTAAAATTATAAAAAGTGTAATAATCCGTTTCTACAGTCTACACACAAACAAATTAAATATAGCCCACAAAACCAACGCACATTTGGCGGTTTCTTTTTTGTTTCACGCTAAGAAAGACATAACCTCAAACGTCAATTCTATTCAATTAATATCAGGGGGTTTTCGTTTTGGCAGATATAGTATCTAGTAGCAACTAATATCAGTTCAGAGTAACTCTAAGTTGTTATTAGGTCTGTTCCAACAAGAGTCAGGGATTGGTTCCGAACCTTGGCCCGACGCGTCGCCAGAGAGCCAGACAATGACATAATCCCCCCCGCAACACCTGACGAACTAAGACTGACAATACGCAGACTTAAAAACAGAAAAGCC